CCCCCCCGCTTTTTAAAGGCTATCGATGCTTGAAATTGCCGCATTTTCTTTATTTTCATTGTTTTTCATGATCTCTCATTAGTTTTCGTCATTCCATGCTTTTGCATCACACTCGAGCCTTCATAGTTTTTCAAGATTCTGAGTTTGTTTCATAAATCTGCATGAAGTCTCATTAATCTGCGTCATCCCTCATCGCTTTTTCATGATGGGCCATAACGTTTCATCAATTTTCGTCATTTTCCATCACTTATCATAATTTTTCGTCATTTGTCATCATGTTTCGCCAGTTTGCACCATTTGTCATCCTTTTCATCATGTTCATCATCTTTTCACTATTTTCGCAGTTTTTCACCGTTTTCCGCAATTTTCGCCATTTTTCATCATTTGTTTTCCATCAAAGTTCATCATGTTCATCAGTTTCCGTTCATCATGCTTCATCATTTTTCCACTATTTTCATCACTTTGCACCATTTTTCAGCATCTTTCATCATCTTTCATCATCATTTTCATCATGTTCTCACAATTTTTCATCATTTTTCATCACTCTCATCATCTTTCATCATTTTTCATCATTTTTTCATCGAATTTCATACTTTTCATCGTTTTCTGTNNGTAAATTTTCATCATCTTTCATCATTTCTCGTCATTTTTCATGATTTTTCATCATTTTTCATTATTTTTTCATCATGTTTCATCAGTTTCGTCATGTTTTCACCATTTTCATCATTTTTCATGAATTGTCAAGCATTTTTTTGGTCATTTTGCATAGTTTTTTCAAAAGTTTCACGAGTTTTCACCGGCGTTGTGTTCTTCGTTGATCCTGATTTGTTTTGTTTGATCCTCAGGTTTTGTTTTTTTTGATCGCGGTTCTTTTTTTGATCCTCCAAATTCCTGTAGGTTTTCATTAGTGTTGAATCACTTTTTGTTTTTTTTTGATCCCCAGGCTTGTCTCCGTTCTACCAGTTTTACTAGGAAATCCACGATTTTGTTTTTTGATCCTTATTTGCTTTTTCTTGATCCTCAGATTTTGTTTTTTTGATCCTAATTTTTTTTTGGTCTGATCCTCCACCCTGCTCTCTCAGAAGCTAGACTAAGAGCACCAATGCCACTGGTATCCCAATGCTAGCAACCGTGCTACGTTGATTTTCGCCAAATTTCTATGGAAACCCTTCAGGCAGGCCTCCAACTGCTGCAGTCTAGTGCCCTGCTGCTGGACGAGCACCTCGACCGATGTTGCGGTTCCCAAACACATGTGGGAAACCATACACTCTGCTTCAACAATGGCTTCTTTTTTAATGTTGGCCGTGAGCGTCGCTAGGATGCCTCTAGAAATGTGCCGTGATATGCCGGGGCTTTGCTTGCCAAAGACTTGTGCGGATACCTACAGAGGACGTTGGCTGTGCTATCTCAGAAGCTAGACCCGGAGCACCAATGACACTGGTATCCCATATGCTGGCACCCGTGCTATGTTGCTTTTCGCCAAATTTCCATGTCGACCCTTCAAGCAGGCCTCCAACTGCTGCAGTCTAGTGCCCTGCTGCTGGACGACCACCTCGACCGATGTTGCGGTTCCCAAACAAAAGTGGGAAACCATACGCTCCTTGGCTATTGCAACAGCACGTTCCATAGGCGGATCGGTTCTTCGTCCATCCATTCTTCTGCGGATGCTTCTGCCTCAGCACTGCTGGTAGTTTCCTGTTTCTTCCACCGTTTGTTCCCTGGACATGGCTCTGACTTGCTGGGGAAGAAAATCTTCGAATTTAGGGGGTCATGGACCATGCAGAGCAAAACACCACCGACACGCTACGCACTTACAATCTGAATCCCTGAGCGTGACATAGGATCCTCAAGCCTCCCTAGAAGAAAAACATCCCCAAAGCCTACCCAGACCCTCCTCCGTAGATTTGTTTTGTGTAGTATGTTTTAATCGCTTACCAAAAATCCATAGCAAGCCCCAAACCCTACAACCCTTCGCTGGGTTGCTGCTGAGGAGCTTAAGTTATTACAACAAGGAGACCCTACTTTCGTACTATCTACCCCTACTATTTATGCTAACTTAGTTTATATTTAGGTTCCTGAACAACAATCGAGTTTGCTCACATCCTGACAAGACCGAGCCTGGCCCTCCGAAACAAGCGATGACCTCGTAGTCGGTGCTTGCTGCCCGCCCGTGTTCTGAAACTTCAGTCCTCCATGCGAGTGTTGCCAAGCCATTTGGCGGGGCCTAGTGGATAGGTCTTTGGAGCTTGGGCTTTGGCGTTTTCAGGTTCATCTGAGATGCGAGATGTTCTGCAGCTAAGTCCTCAAGTTTTGGGGGTTGGGGCTCAGAGTTCGGGTCTGGGATTAGATTTTTCAATTGGGTCTCCGCATATACTGGTGGAGGGATATGGCGGATGATGCTGTCGAGGCCGCTAACGGACCCAACTGGGTAGCCAACATTTGACGATCCCTCCACATCACACCATCAGGTTTACAAGACAAGAAAGCACGAAGGCTTGTGCGCTAGCTGCAGTCAAAAGTTTCAATCGAGGGGCTTGGGGCCTAAACCCTAAACCCTAAACCCTAAATGGTGCAGAAATGTCCAAAGGATCTTCGCGTCTTAAACACTCATCCTTCAGACTTAGTTTTTCCTCCTTGCCCTGATTCGGCGTCAGTAGCTCCAGGGGGTTCGAGCTTAGGGTTTTCAACCTTGCGCTTGCGAGGGCCGTAAAACAAGGATCATGGTTTGATTTGAGCATGCAAGGGGTCCTTCAAGCTCACAATATCCTTCCTTCTTTTTTTGTAGGATGCTTGCACGGAAAGTCTTGATGTAAAACTCTAGGCCCTAAAAACCCTAAAACCTGATGCCTTGAACCCTGCATTTTCTCATTGGTGAAGATGTGCAACCCAACCCACACCAGGATGCAAAATCTCAAAATACAAGCATGTCTTACGTGCAACCATCCTGGCATGACCAGAGGCCACAAATAGACCATGTAACCCTAGAAGCCGAGGTACCCATATAGTAGGTTCTTGGATAATAGATAATAGAAGTTTATATAGGGAACCAAGGACAGGAACCCAATATACAGGTAACTGGGCTTCTAGGGTAAGGTACACATATTCTTCGTTTCACCCAAAGGGATACCCGCCCCAATAGATACACTGCCCTTCCTGGGACAATAGCTTACGCTCACCAAAGCCAGGACCCATCATCCATAGGGTTTAGGGTTTAGGGGTTTAGGGTTTTAGGGTTTAGGGGTTTGGGAGTTTAGGGTTTAGGGGTTTAGGGTTTAGGGGTTTAGGAGGGTGTAGGGTAATTTGCATGGCATGGTCCTTGTCATCAATGCCCGCAGCGGCGCATCAATGTTGCCCTTGGTTCCTGCAGGAGGCTTCTCGGTAAGGCTGAACTCAACTGGCAAGTAGGGCAGCTGAATCCGTGTCTTGCAAGGTCACACGCACACCCCACTGAACTCAACTGGACTAGGGTAGGTTTGGGGCCCTCAAATATGCAATTTCTATGGCTTCAGAAGGGCTTACCTAGGGATGAAGGGTAAGAAAGATAAAAGAACTAGGTTCGAACCTCCCCGACTGGACCAGGATGACACCCTTATACTACACATCAGGGGGCTCAAAAGGTGGGATGAAAGCACGTGGGTTTAAGGATCCCTCGCATATGCTCTACTATATTGGAGGATATTTCCTATACCCCACCTTCCTTTACCCCAACGTTTGAGGCTTGGACCAGAATGACACCCCTGACCCTAAACACCATACACGCCCATATGGTAGTTTCCCTACATAAGGGAACCCCAATATAGACCCTCCAAATACTATAATCCTTATCATAGGGACCCCCAAAATGGCACCCTAATTTTGGGAAACCCCCATATACAGACTGTCAGGATGCCACACCAGCACCTGGGACTCTTTTGCAACGCTTCCATGCGCTGTAGAAAGCTGTAAGCTGGCCCGAAATAGTCGCAAACAATCCCTGAATCCTATAGCCCAAGGCCTACATCCTAAATCCTAAATCATGGACCCTAAACCCTATACATAATCCTTGGCTCAACTGTCTTTCCACCTGCCAGACGCAAAGTTAAAGGCTAAAGGCAGCCCAAAATGTCACAACACAAGCCTCACTCTTACCCAAACCAACCTAGAATCCCATATGAGCTATAATCTAAACTTCTTAAGGGGGTTATATGGGGGATTATGTAGGGAAGTATCGTGCTTTGACAAGTGAGATGCAAACTGGAATGATATGAGCTGTAGTCTAATCATGTCTAAACCCCTAGTATCCTCCTTAATAACCCATATATGATACAATCCCTTATATAACCCCTTTAAGGCATCGAGACTAAAGCTCATATCAGGGACCTAACATAGGCCCTCTTAAAAGGGCCCTGTTGTAGGGCTAGAAGAGAAGCTCATGGGTTCCTACCCTAATTGATTGAATCAGGGTTTAGGGTTCAGGGTTTAGGATTTAGGGTTCCGGGTTTAGGGTTTAGGATTTAGGATCTAGGGTTTAGGATTTAGGATTGATTTAGGATCTAGGGTTTACCATTTGGAGTGTAGGGTTTAGTGTTTAGGATTTGGGGTCAAGGTTTTATTGGATTACCCGTGCCCAGTTGATATGCATGAGTTTCAAGGCTTTGACAGACCTACTCTGCTTCATACAAGTACTGCTGCTGTTCGTCCCTTTCAATCTACGTGCTCTCTAAGCCCGCAATGAAACCACGATCAATGCTACGTAGCAGTATCTGTGCTGCAGCTCCCCTTGCTCAACTTCAGAAAGTATCTCGAAGTCTTAGAGAGGGGTCGTTCAGTGTAGGTAAGCTAAAAATCCCCAACACTCCCTCATCCTTCCAGGGTCTCTGCTAGGCCCTGGCTAGGTCCGGCCCTTGAATACAACACCTCTTAAGGACCTTGTAAACATCACCATTAGCCCATTAGTGTCGAGCCGTGAACTCTTACTTGGCATGCCAACCAAAGCAATCCTGCTTTCTCAGCTCTTAGAACAACACCCCAAACAAAGACCTCAACTCCTGCCTACCTCCGCACATCATTAACTCTAAGTCCTTGAGTCCTCCACCCCTAACTCCCACATCCCGAATCCAAAAGCCCCTCTCACCGCTCACAGCATCTCTCGCCGTTGCCTGGCGGTCCCAGGGAGTCCCCTCCGCACAAGCAAACCTCGGGGCTGAGGTGTTAAGAGCACAGAGCATACGACTTCGGGAGTCTCAGGTTAGGGTTTAGGGTTTAGTGTGTGTGTGTGGGGACTCTTCCACCCCCCAAAAAAAAGCAAGGTCGGTACGGTTTGGGTACTGGTGGGGATTCTTCTTTATCGTGCGGAAGGTTAGCCTGAACCTAGGATACTGAGCCCCACGCTCTTCCCCATAGAGCCTTGGAGCCTGCATGCTCTTCAACCCTTGTACGTAAGCTCTTCTCTAGACGTGCTTCGGAACCCGCAAAAAGGAAAGAAGTCTACCTTGCGGGCAGGCGGCATACTCCTTCTCCACCAGGCGCCCGGCGAATTGGGCCTGCAAAATGGACTTGTTGAGTAAAGATTTTGGAGATTCATTTTTACACTCTAGGATTGAAGGATCCGGGTTTCAGATTGATTCCTGTATAGGGCCTAATTTGGGCCCAGGGACCCAGGACCAGAATCCGCATGACGGGCCCCGTAATTCATTTTTCAGCTGGCACCGCATACTTTACCCCCAAATCCAAGACCCTAATTCCCTTGTAAGTTGCTTACCACCCCCTAAACTAACGTGCCACACCCAAAAAAGGCAATATGAAGACTGATGTCTTTTTCAAGGGGGGCTCATGATGGGGTTCCATGCTAGACTGCCTCACGCCCTCCCAAACGTGTAGTGCCTCCTCAACATAAGAATCCACAGCAACAAGTAGAAGAAAACCCCGTGCTTGTTGACCCTTGGCCCCAAACCCTCGAACATGAACCCCAAACCCTGCAAACTCAACCCAAACTCCTCAAACCCAAATCTCAAAACCCTGAAGACCCAAAATCCCCAAACCCTAAACCCCATAATACACCCTACAACCCAATCTCTAAAACCTAAATCCCCCAACCCCAAACCCGATCCTAAACCCTAAACCCTAAATCCCCCAACCCCAAACCCTTTGCCTGGAGCCAATGGAGCGCTCTTGGAGACATTGCCAGCGGAAGCACGCCGGAGGTTGGAGAGTCCAGGCGTGACACCAAAAAAAGCTCCTGGGAATGGCTAGGGTTTTAGGGTTTAGGGTTTTAGGTTTTAGGGTTTTAGGGTTTAGGGTTTTAGGGTTTAGGTTCTAAATTGCAGGACCTGAATCCCAAATTCATGCAGAATCATGGCCTTGCTTGGCTACTTTTCGGGTTTGGGGCAATTTTCTACGTACGGTTGAGGTCCAAGGAATTAGGATTCTGCATGGTGCGTCGAAGACTCTGGGCTTATGGTTTTTGGATACAGGGTTTGGGGTTTACATGTACGGGTATAAGTCTAGGACTCAGGGCTGTTAGGGCTTGAGATTTAGGGCTCACCCTCAATTCGAAACCAATGGGGCGGAGCTGTTGCCAGTGTAGCCTTCTCTGGTTAGCAATGAATGAAGGAGTGGATCTTTATAGTAGTCCCTACACAACCCCCAATACAACCAAAATCCTCAATCCTAAGCCCCAAAAACGGAGTTGTGTCCACGTTCTTGTTCTTTCCTTCATTCTGCGCTGGCCAAAGGTAAGTATTGAAGGGGGTGCTGTACCAGAATGACATTCTCTCAGGGTGCCTCATATGCTGCAAAATACTTCAGAATGCGCTTTTGAGACAGGTCCCAGGTAAAGCAAACGACATAAATCCAAACGTATGTAGAACAATTGCCTGTTTGGCTATGTTGTGGGGTCCTCAACCAGCATTTTGCCTTGCTTTTAGGCCCAGGTATACCGAGGTACATACGAATCTTATGAGGAATTTCTGATGGATTCTTGTCGAGGTTCACTGCTTTGTAGTTGGTCTGCGCTTGGCGGCTAGAGCGTGTGGCTTGGGACTTGGTTTTCGGTTTGGGTTTTACCCGAGATTTGGGGCACTTGGATGTCAAAGGCTACGGGTGAGAGGCTTACAAACCTGATACCCTAAACCCCAAACTTACCGCGTTGGTTTAGGATTTCATGTGTTGAGCTAAGGTTCAGGTCTAGCCTAGCGCTTTGGGTTCAGGGAAGCTCCTGCCTGCGCAATCGATGTAGGGGTTCCGCAAATCTTGGATGAACAGTATGCAAACTCTTTGTAGCAAGTATATAAATGACGGTCTCTCTGTCTCTGGAGATCCCTGCATGATTCCAGGCATCTCCAAAGGCAGTGCTACAGTGCCACCATCTCCAAACTCATTGGGTACTGCCCACACCCAGTAACGGTCTTTTTTTTAGGGGTCCTATTAAGGGCTATATGTAACCATCTCATAAATATTCACTGCTGGGTGGGGGCAGTATCCAACTCATTGTCTATATTCTCAGGTATGCAAGACACTATCGTCCACTACGCTGGGTCCTGCGAGAGGCGTCTGCAGGCAGCTGCAACGACGGCTTCCTTACTGCGGAAGGAAAACACTCAAAGATGTAGGCGTTAGAATATAGGGTTTAGTGTATTGCCCTCGTTTTTGGTGGCTGTTGCTGCCACTCCTCCTGCCACTGGCACTGAGTGTATGGCTCCGACTAATTAGATGGGTCAGCTCCGCTGATGTTAAGAGCTATGACTGCTATCGAAACTGGTATTGTTGCTGGTATGCCTCCTACTGTTGCTGCTGGCTTTATACCTTGTGTTTGCTGCGGCTGTTGTAACAACACCTGTTCACTACTGCCATTGGTGCAACCGTCACTAATCGTGATTACCCTCACGGCTGCTGCTTGCATCTTGCTGCCGTTCTACTATCATAAGTGTCACTGCTCGGAGAGCAATCTACTAACATTCCTATTGCTTTAGTCATAAGTAATCACACATAATACTATTATGTTCCTTCCCGTTATCCTTGTAGAATGGTAGTGATTTTGAGTAAGGAGCGATGTGTGGAGGGATATTCCAGGACATATGAAGTCTGTCGGTTCTGAGGAGTGGAAGACAATGGGAAGTCAACCATACATGTAGACCCTAAGCCTACCACGCCAGAAATTCAATGATTCAACGGCTGCCAGTCTATGAACAAACAACCCCCCAGACCCTTCAACTGGAACAGAATGAGACCTCGAAATCACACCCTAAACCCCAAATCCTGCGAGGATCTGTGCGAACGTCGGCTGGTTTGGACAGCGCCAGGATCCCCGCAGACTGACTCAGGATTTGGACGTCCACGTCTCCTCTGACACCAAGATTTAGGGTTTAGGGTTTTAAGGTTTAGGGTTTAAGGTGTTTTGGGTTTAAGGTGTTTAGGGTTTAAGGTTTTAGGGTTTAAGGGATTAAGGTTTATCGGGTTTAGGGATTAATGTCGAGGATGTGCAGGGCTGCATCAGCTCATGGGCCACATGCCCAAAAGACCGTGTTGAAAACGGGCAGACGTCTACAAAGGGCCCGGCCCAAACCCTTCAGAGGGATCTAAAGACTCAAACGGGTGAAGAGCTCGGAGCTTCACTGTCAGCTTTAGAGGTTTAGGGTCTGTACATGTAAAGAAACTCATGGTCTCCTTCTGCAAATTCTGAATAGGAAACAATGTTGCGCAATGATCGCTTGGACACCCTATAGTGGGGGGCCAGCGCTTCTAGTCAAAATGCTTACCAGTCACACCCACCCCCCACACCTCCGCGGGTAGGGTTTTGTGCGGACAGCTGCACCTATGGCCTGCACCGGCCGTTCAAAATCCAACTTCCACCTACCCTACCTCGCCTTGCAAACAGACACGCCGGCAAATCGCTCAAATCCACTTGTACCTACCCCTTCGAAGTAGACCAGAATGGTGGGATATAACCATGAATGTATCGTAAACCCTAAATCCTACACCCTAAACCCGCAAAGAACCCCATACAGTCCTTTCCATCCACTTCATACTTACCCCTTCCAGGTCAACCCCGAAGGTGGACGCCTGGCCTGCTGCATCAACCGAAAGATCCCCGGTCTCCTGGGTGTGGGGGATTTAGGGTTTGAGGTCTTTGGTTTAAGGGGGTTAAGGGTCGAGGGTTGAGGCTTAGGGTTTAAGGCTTAGGGTTCAGGGGTTTAAGGGTTTGGGGGTGTTGGTTTAGGGTTAAAGGCTGAGGGTTTAGGGGTTTGAGGGTTTTGGTTTAGGGTAGGAGTTTAGGGTTTGGGTCCTTGGTTTAGGGGTTTTGGGTCTAGGATTTTTGGATTCAGTGTTTAGGGGCTTAAGGTTCAGGGCTTACCTGAAACCCAAAAGGAAGTAAAATCACCGCCCAAGACGCTTAACAATTCTCAGAAACATCGTTATTCTACATGCTTTGGGGGGTCTGGATAGCGGTTGAGGGTAGCTTCCAACTAGGCTCCATGTACGTAATATTTATAGACTTCAACGGGCCCGATGTAGGTATTTGTTAAGACTTATCAAAGCCCAATGGATGCTTGAACCAACCCATACTAGCTGCCGTGCCAGCACTGCTATTGTATCTACAAGGGACACATACTGCAACTGTGACAAGTGCTCGTGGTTCAAGTGACGGTTTTGGGCCAAGGATTCAGGTTCAGTCAATACGGCATTGACCCTCCCCATGAACTAGCACAGAATATGGGTTCCTTCCATTGGGCAGCAATTCACGATTTTGTAAGGAATAGGGGCACAGAATCCCTGCACAATGTATTCCCTTCTTCCCTATTGTAACCCCATACATATCCTATTTCAATGTAGTAGCTTCCATTTCCCACTATACCTCTCTAACATAACGTGCCTTCAGAAACATTTACACTCCCCCAGACTAACATGGAAACCCATATAGTCCCCTTTTACAAGGACTGCAGTCTTTATTTGGCCCTTTTGGGGTTTCCATGTTAGTTTCCGGGAGTGTAGTGTAGCCACTTCAACTCCTGGCTATACAACCCCTCAACACAATGAAACGATGGCAAACTTGAACAGAGTCACGCGGTTGCACTGGGGTGCTTTTTCAGGGCTCTCTATAATATAGGGTTGAGGGTTTAGAGTATGTTGGGGTCTATATCGAGGTGTCCCTATTTTGAGAGTTCGTAGAGGTGTCCCGCGTGCACGTTTGGAGCCTTACACCTGTCAGCACCAAACAGCCTCCTTTCCAGCTACCGTGCATGTTAATTAGGCTCTCATCAATGTTGCTCGATTCCGCATGCATGCAAATACACTCCTGGGAACTAACATGGAAACCCAAAAGGGGCCCTATAAAGACTACAGTCCCTCTAAAATGGGGCTATATGGGTTTCCATGTTAGTTTGGGAGAGTGTATGCCATAGCAAAAAGAGCCTGAATTGAAAAGAAACCCGCGAGCCGCATAAGTGCTTGGCCTTCGCAGCACCAAAGAACCCAAGCCAGATTTGACCCTTTAGACTGAGACTCCAAACCAACCGTGGACTCTAAATATGCTCCCCATAGAAGCCCTACACAGTAGTTTCCGTTTCATTTTCCATTATCCCATCATAACTCCTATATAACCCCTATAACCCCAATCTTAAAAACCTGTGAGGTCAATCCCCCGACCCTAAGCCTTCTGAAGCCCAAGTGGCGATATTGTTGCCATCTTTTGCCGAGTGCTCCCAAAGCGAGCGAGTGGACTTGATAAAGCCAACCTTAGTTTCATTAACCAGCCCCCCCTTGGGTTCAGGGTGTGGGGTCAGAGTGTGGGGTCTTTAGGGTTAGGATTCGGAGTCTAAGCAGCGCGTGACAGTCTGATGGGAGAGCCTAACCCTGAGCCTGGACCCCCAAATTCTGCACTCCCGCCCCTAGACCCTGGCCCATTAGCTCCCAACCTCTAAACCCTACACCCTACACTTAACCACTCACATGAAGCTTGGCAGCTGCTGCGGCCTCTCCGCAGGCACTTTTGATGGCGCCAGCAGCCGTACCAGCTAGGATGCCTTTACTCCAGCAAAATGAGAAGAGCTTGGGTTTAGGGCATAGAGATTAGGGTTTAGGGTTTAAGGCATAGGGTTTTAGGCCAGACTATATCCAGTGCCATTTTGAAAGTATTGGGGGGGCTTCGGGTGTAGATGTTTAGGGGATGAGGGCTTAGAGATTTTGCGCATCAAGCTGCTCTGGTCCTGATTCGTGGATAGGCAGTGGGATTACCTGGACCCTGATAGTACAAGTAGGGTAAAATAATGGCCCACCCACACCCGTACAAAGAGCCACACAAATGGTTATGCTATATACTTTTAGGGTCCAGGTAGTGATCAAGACTTCACGTGCCCACTGCCAGCATCAGATTCGGGAATGCTGCGGCTTGAACCTTTGTCAAAGCACCCTCTTCACCCTGTTGATCAGGGGAGAGAGGGTTCCCGTCCTTTTGAGGGGGTGCAGGGTCGTTGTGTCCTGCCCACAAATGATTCCCCCCCAACATAGTCCAACCAGCCTGCCTACAAGCCTGAAAAGCTTGTCATAGGGTATGTGCGCGTTTGGGACCAACGTATCTGAACACCGAGTTGCAGAGCCTCAAGAAAAGCAATAATGGCGTAGTAACGCTACCTACAGAAGCCAGGAATAAGCCATGACTGGACGTAGTCCCTGCATGAACACTTATAAGGCACAAACACATCTAGCTAAATCGTGGACACCTGAAACTTTGCACCCTGAATGTGACTGCGAAATCCGATCCCTGGCCCAAACTGGAGGCCATCGAAAACCACCAACAGAAAGAAGTGTAAGGGAATGGAGGTACCTGGACCCCGGAAGTTGGTAAAATCATGGCTGAAAAAACTCCTCACAACAGCCAAGAACTGGGGGAGGGGGGGTGGGTTCTGGCAGTAGCCATGGAGCCTGTGGCTGCAACTCGGAGTGAGGGCAGGGCGACCTTGGCAGCACAAAGATAACAAAAACTCGGACAACGTTTAGGGTTTTAGGGTTTAGGGTTTAAGGTTTAGGGTTAAAGCCTCCTGTGTAGTAGTTTTTTTTTGGGCGTCGTAATGCGTCGTAGATTAATAGTCCTTTACCAACCACAACAAGCCCAAAAAGGGACTCAACAGGGGCCCTTGGGGTGGCTTGACAACTTACACATGGTAGGTTGTCAACCTTCTAGTGATCATGATAGTCCCTCCTTTTGGGGTCCCTATAGTAAGATTACGCCCTGAACGTATGTGGTGCCACCTACCACATGGTTTAGGGTTTCCAGTCTAGCCCTGAGGGACATGGTGCCTGCAATGCAGGTTCTGGGTAGCTTTACAGGAACGTCCATAAACTCCTAGATTTTGCACTCCTGAGCTCTAAACCCCAGCAACCGTTGGCTGGTGTTTAGGGATAAAGGTTTAGGGATTAGCCAACCACGAAAAACCCAGGACCATAATATTATATGTATATATATATATATACAGAGTCATGTGAGGATTCTGAGTATTAGAGACCTGTACCAAACTAATTCTTCATACTTCGCGGCTAAAGAGCATCTAAAACGTCCGTGCAAGATATCGGCTGAAGAACTGTTTCCGAAACCGGCTCTGAGCTTTCAAAAAATGGGTTTGGGGTTTAGGGTTTAGGGGATAGCTTACCTAAGCCCTACACCTAATGGTCCCCCTTAAGTAGATAGGATATGGGGTATATGGGGATCTTATTATAGTATTCCCAAAGCCATATTCTATCTACTTAAGGGGGACTATAATGGTTCTTAGTAGAGAATAAGGGGATATTATCACTATACAATCCGATATCACATGTTCCTGTATTCCCTAATTACTAAGAAGGTATGTAAAATAATGGCCCTTTTGACCATTTAGAAATGTTTTCAGCTATTATCTTACCTATTTTTTGTGTCCAGATATGCATGTCCGCACCCTTGTAGCTACTTAGATCGCGCTTTCCTTCTCAGAGTTGGATAAATCTGCAAAAAGGCATCCGGATAGTAGAACGCACTATAGGCCAACCATACCCAAGACTCCTTTGTGATGTAATGTAGGAGCGGGAAGAATCGACGGATGTCGCCGGATGTGGCTTCGGGACACAGTCTACTAATGTTGGTAGTTACGCAGACTTCTGCAGTAACCGGATACCAGTCAATCATGTTGCTTGTGCCCCTTTACAAGAGCCCTTTGCAGATGTTTAGCCAAGTTGCTAGCAGTGCTGCAGCTGCCTCCCACGACTTGGCCTCCACAACATTGACAAAGCACGCATGCCCACAAGTAGCGAAAGGTGCAGCAAGCGGGGAAATCAACAAGCCCAGGCATAACAGTAGCTAGACACAGGGCAGGTTCTACAGCACGGGTATCATCCAAGGCTCCAGGTCCTGCATCCGAACTAAGCAAAAACCACGAAACCTGAACCCTAAGCTCCATGATTTTATGATCCCGAACCCTGGACCCTAAACCGTGCTAGATTTGAGCAACTCCTTTGCGATCCCGCTAATCGTCTCTTGAAGTTGCAGACCTCTCAATGCAGGGACCATACTTGCATAAACAAACCGTGACCCTGAATCCCAGAACCTGAATCCCCTCGCACATAAACCCCACAACCCCTGAACCTCTCACTCTCTGAACACTATCCTCCCCCAAAGCTGCTCGCGTTAAGTCGGAAATGCATGGAATGTGAGATCATCTTGAGGGACTCTGCCCTGAACCCTAAACCCTGTACTGGGTTCTTGAAATACAATTAACAAAGTTCTTTGTTTATTGATATTGGGCCCAGGTAGCCGTAAGAATGCAAAAAAATGTTCTACAAGAGCATTGTATAGGGATCCCGTCACCGTCCTCCATTCTTGACTTCCCACCAGAAGTATAAAAAAACTCACAGCCCAGAAACCTCAATCCCACTCCGAAGCTCTGAACCCCCTTAACCCCAAACCCTAAGTCCCCAAATCCTAGAACCCTAAATCCCGAAACTTGAGATCCTAAAGCCCTGAACCCCTAAACCCTAAATCCTAGACCTAGACCCTACTAATTAAGCCCTAAACCCTAGGCCCTAAGCCATCAAACCACTAAATCCCAAACCCAAAACCACAGTCCCCGAACCTTTGCAGTGGCACCCATCACAGCGGAGGCTGCGAAGCCGGCGCTGGACGCCGAGGCCCGCGAACTGAGGGAAACTCTTAGGTTTAGGGCTTAGGTCTTATATTGGATCTATTGGATTTGGGGGTTGTAGGCAAAATTCTTAGTTTTAGGGTTTAGGTCTTAGGATTGCTGGGATCTTTTGGATTTGGGGTTTATAGGATTATAAGCGTTTAGGGTCGGGTTTAGGGTTTAGGATTTCGGGTTCGGGGTTAAATGTCACATTAGCTTATGAATTCAGAGTTTACGGTCAAGCCACTTCTGCATCCGGCCAAGGGCCAGGGTGTAGTATCTACTGCTTGGGGTTTAGGATTTGGGGCATGACGTGTTGGGTTTTGCTTCAGCACGCTGCTTTGCCATCGTGCTGGGCCTTTTTTGTTCTTGGGTTTGTGGCGTTAGGAGTTCAGAGGTTGAGGGTGGAGCATGCAGGGCAAAAGAACTCCCACAAACAACCACGGAAGCCCCAAACGTGTCTTTCAGGGTCCCTTGCTCCGTTAGACAGGTCCTATATATTGTGTTCCGGGAATTGGAGGGTGGAAGCGCCTTGGTCGGGGATGAAGGTTTCGGACCTAGGACTCTGCATAGGGATTGGGAGATAGGGGTTACCTCAACCACCAAAGGAAATAAAAGAATGGTCCAAACCCTCCAAAATATCAATATGCCATTATAGCCTTTTACTCTGTGAGTCCCGGAAGGGGTTTAGGGCCTAGGATGTTGGGTACGGAAGGTTCTAGGTTTGATTGTTAAGGCGTTTAGGTTTGTTGGCCTAGCTTAGAGTTAGGTCTTGATTGAATTCTGGTGTCCGTGCTCTGGAAAAAAAGATGAAGACTTCTCACCTGAAATCACTAACTCGGGTGTAGGTTTCGGGTTCAAGGATACGTTCAGTCGTCTTTAAAAAGCAAAACCCTTTTAAAAGCTGACGGCTTGCGGGTCAGATTTCAGGGATGACAGGGAAACACATAGGGGTCTTAGAGGGTCTTCCATGTCAGTGCTTGGGGCACTGATGAATCTACCCCAGTCTTGCTGACAGGCCACAGAGTTCTGGGCAGTATAGCCAATGCCATCTGCCACTCGCACGCCTACCGGTTGATGGTAACAGTTCTGAACCCCGCCCCCCCCCCCTCCAACAGAACTCCTCCCTGGGGTATGGTGGGTGTGTTTCTTTATGTGTTTGTCATTCAGGATTTTAGTATCAACTGAAGTCATAGCACGTGAGCAGCAGTGTGTGGGGGGGAAATCATTTTGCTGGAAATTGCACGGAGGCTGGTGCGCGACTGTTCTCAACCATCCAACTGCAGTACAGGTTGTCGACATTAGTGGGACTTGTGCTGTGACTGCAACCCTAAGTATCGGACTCATGTGAAAGCAATTGCCCGAAACAAGAATTACCCACAAACAAAGACCTCTAAAAGTAAGATGTGGAAGTACATGAAGGGAAGGGGATGAAGACAGGGCTTTCCATTTGTTGTTGAGAAGAGGATGCTTCTGTTCAGGCATTCAGAAACGTTTTCGCGCCTAAGGTTGCTGCGGCTCTGCTATTTCTGGACACATGCTTGGAGCTTTGTGTGAATCCAAAACTGGACTGATTGTGCGACTTGGCT